TCATATCATGTTACACAAATTGTTGCTTATGCCTTTAGAACAATGGGGATGATATCACGTTTGACGCATGACTTTTCAAATATAATGTGCTTAGTTCGATTGTTTTGTTCCCTTGTATGAGTTAAACTTGAGTTTTGTAGTTCAGTGTGGAATTCGCTAACAATGACCGACGCTGCACGGATAGAAAGAGTTCAGAAGCGATTTATACGCCTTGTTTACGATAGATATATTGATAGAAAATGTTATTTTGATTATGAATACTTTCTTAGAGAACTTTCACTCCAGAACTTTTCAAAAAGAAGGATTGCTCGTGACATTATATTTTTATACAAAGTGGTTCACGGCCAAATTGATAGCAATCTTGTGTCGTCTTTGAACTTTCATGTACCGGCACGAGTTGTTAGAAACTCAAGCGTGTTTTATAAATCTATCCAAACGAGACTGTCCCCTCTGGCTAGAATGCAAATTTGTTTAAATGAATTTCTGACTCATGCAGACATATTCTAAAATTTTGCTGCGTTCAAACGACTACTTGATATGCATATTTTTGGCTTATGATTGTGAAATGTTTTAATTTCGAGAGCATATGTCGGGGGGGGGGGGGGGGGGGGGGGGTTGAGATTGTGTACTGTTTCGGGTGTTTTTTTTCCCTTTTTAAACTTTTTATGTGCCACCCCACACTGTAACCAATAGGTTGTTCTGGGGCATTAAACAAATAAAGGATTATTATTATAACTTTTGGGTGCTCCATGTCAATACAGTAATCACCGATAATACAGTCGAACCTCGATATAACGAACTTCAATGTAACGAAATCCTCGATTTAACGAAGTATTTTATTTTTCATAATTTCTTGCCCATAGACCCCATGTATTTTTAGTCCCTATATAACGAAGTCTATTTTGTTGCTATTTCAGTATAACGAAGCGCCATTGCCATAGAAGGCAATAAATAAATAAACTCTAAAAAACAACTTTGCAAAAAAATTGTGGTTAAAAAAAAAAATATGCGCAAACGCGAGCGCTTGATAGGTTACTTCACGGGGACAGGCCTTTTGCCCGAGGATGCGGCGCCGGTAGCGCCGGCGAGGCATGCGGCAAAGCGGATTCCGCGAGGCTGGTCAGAAAATGCCGAGCAAAAAGTTAACACGGCATAACAGCATCACCACTGACATTCACTAATACCATAGTCCACTCCACTGTACCGCGGGTAGCGCGGGAGCCAACTTCAGCGGGGGAGCGACGTGATGGCGCGACCGCGATGGATGGATGGATGGATGGATCTGGCTAAACCCTGTGAATCGGGCGGTGGCTTGCGCCACCTAGCCAACATTATAAATCTAATTATATGTTTTGAATTCCAAGATTAAATCTCACCCCTGCCTCGATTTTAGCCACCAGTCTGATAACCTCCGCTTGGTTATTTCTACCCGTGTAAAGTCTATTTTTCCTTCACTGTCTTTAAAACCCAGTGCTTTGATTAAATCCGCCCGGTCACTGTTAACTGTTGGGTAAAGCCCTTTACAGGAAAGTATTAAGTGTTCAGCCGTTTCCTCCTGCTCCCCACACACACTACATAAAGTGTCCATCTCCTGGTACTTAACCCGGTACGTCTTAGTCCGCAATACTCCTGTACTGGCCTCAAACAACAAAGAGCTTCCCCTAGAATTATCGTAGATATTTTCTTTGCAAATTTCCTGTTTGAACATTCTGTACGTCTCCAGTGCTGGTTTTGTCTGCATACCCGTTTCCCACAGACCCTTCTCTGTTTCTTTTATCCTTTTCTTAACCCGTAATTCCTGGTTGGCGCCCCCACTGCCGCCCAAATATTTGCTTGATAATTTTCTAGTTCGCTTTCTCCATTTGGTATCTACATTCCTCATGTACAAATAACTGAAAACTTTCCTAGCCCACTGCTCTTCCTCCATTTCCCTCAAACGCTCCTCAAATTCTATCTTGCTGCTAGCTTCCCTGCCCTCGAATGACGTCCATCCCATGTCGCCTTGTACCCCCTGATTCGGCGTATTTCCATGAGCTCCCAAAGCAAGCCTACCTACGCCCCGCTGTTTAATTTCTAACTTTGCTTGAATATCTGGTCTCATGCACAGGACCGCATTGCCGAAGGTCAGGCCGGGAACCATGACCCCTTTCCAAATCCCCCTCACCACTTCATACCTACTGTAATTCCACAGGGCCCTATGTTTCATGACGGCTGCATTCCTGCTACCTTTCATCGCTACATGTTTTTCATGCTCCGTTAGATACTCAACACCATTATTTATCCATACCCCAAGATACCTGTACTTATCCACTACCTCCAACATGACCTCTTGTATCCTATGCTCGCCACCATCTTTATCATTAAAAATCATCACTGCCGATTTTTCTTGACTAAATTTAAGACCTAGTTTATCTCCCTCTGTACCACAGATATCCATTAATTTCTGCAAATCTTCTTTGTTGTCGGCCATTAGCACTATATCATCTGCATACATCAGCCCCGGTAGTGATTGTTTAATCCATTCACCTTGCTTGATGAAAGAAAGGTTGAAGCCAAACCCGCTCCGCTCTAGTTTGTTCTCCAATCCCTGTAAGTATAACATGAACAACAAAGGCGACAAAGGGCAGCCTTGCCTAAGCCCCCGCTCTATCTCTATAGGCTCCGATACATTTGTTTCCCATTTTATAAGCACCTTGTTGCTATTATATATATCTTTTAAAAGATTAGTTACTCCAGCTTCTACCCCTAATGTACCCAGTATGCCCCACAAATTCTCTTGAATTACACTGTCGTAGGCTCCTTTGATATCCAGAAACGCTAGCCATAGGGGCCTTTGTTCCTTTTCTGCTATTTCGATACACTGCGTTAAAGAGAACAGATTGTCCTCTAACCTCCTTTGCTTCCGGAACCCATTCTGCAGCTCCCCCAGCACCCCCTCGCCCTCCACCCATGCCTGCAGTCTATCCTTTATAATCTGCATCACCACCCTGTAAATCACTGACGTCACCGTTATAGGACGATAGTTGTTTATGTCCGCTTTGTCCCCCTTTCGTTTGTATATCATGCTCATCCTGCTTAGTCTCCATTCATCGGGGGCTTTCCCATCCGTTACCATTTTATTCACTGCCTCTCTTAATGCTTGCTTAGATTTTGGGCCCAAGTTCTTGATTAACATAATGGGAATACCGTCAGGGCCTGTCGAGGTGCCACTAGGAACTCTTTTTCTCTGCCCTTTCCCATTCTCTTTGTCCGAACGAATCCATAGCACTTACCGGTCTGTTCTCCTGCGATAAAGCATGTGCCTCATTCCTTTGGTCTTTAAATTTTTCCGCCATCATTGTCCCTATATGCTGCATTGCCTTATCCCCTTCCAGTCGAGTACCTTGAGCTGTAACTATAAACCTCTGTTCTAAACTTGTCTTATTACTCATGGAGTTCAGATGTTTCCAAAATTTCTTGGCTGCCTTTTTATCCTTTTTGTGCACTTTTGACAACCATTGGGACCCCCTTGTTCTCATTTTCTCACTGATTAAACAGGATGCTTCCCTTCTATAAATTATGAAATTATCCCATTTTCTGTCTACTTCGGCTTTTGGTTCCCCCCTTTGCTTGGAATGTCTGTGTTCCCTGGATGCTTCCTGGCGTCTCTCTGCCCGCGCGACCGCACGGGCAGTGCCATCTAGGAGAAGACCGAAAAGACCGATTATCGTCTTGCGAGCGTGATGTAAAGCAAAGGCGCAAGCACACTGTGGGCGCAAGGGGGCAAGTTGGGCAAGTAAACTGTGCGGTCAAGAGTGCTGTGTAGGTTGGAAACATTGGCACCGCCTAAACTAAACAGCTTTAATTTTTAACCGGGCGGTTCACTCACGTGCTTGCTGCCATAAGGAAACGTAAAGTTCTTTCTTTGGATGAGAAAGCAAACGTTTTGGACGCCATCCTGAAGAAACTGCCGAGATCACGAGCACTCGGGAAGTGCTCGACGCAATGGACGTACTGAGGAGGTACACGGCGTCGCATGGGCAGCAGGATGCCGTGCAAGCGCTCTGGGCGCTCGAACGCCGTATGACGCCGCTGCTACTGTCGGACAAGGCGCAAGCAAAGCTCGCGGACTACTTCGCCCCTAAATAAATGTCATTTTCGGTGAGTTTTCATACCCGTAAAATGTTTCGGAATTTTTTTTCGCATGCTAAAGCCAAATTTCGATTTAGCGAAATTGCAATGTAACGAAGTAAATTGCGAATTTTACCGACTTCGTTACATCGAGGTTCAACTGTAGCAGCAATGGCAAGAAGCTCGTCATCTTTGCTGTCAGAAGAGCTGAGGAATCCATAGAGTGCCACTGCAAGGCATGTTCGTTTTTGCAAGGTCACCATCTCGACAATGCACGTCTGCTATTCCTGCATCTCCTCGATTCCTTCTCCTGGCCGCAACGCCTGATGAGACTGCAACCTGGCACACCATCAATTGTCTTGGAGCGCGTTGGGGCAATGAAAAGCCGTACCGGGAGGGTGCGCTCCGTTGATCGGGGACGTCCAGTGTGCACCGGTGCACTTGATAGAGGGCAGAGGAATGCACCTCGGTGCCTTGGTGCGGAGGATCGAGGATGGTATCAGTAACATTCAAAACCAATATTGCTTCACAGTCTCTATATAATGCCAAGTAACGCACAAACGGCTGAGAAACGGGTCAGAGGCAGACACTCGCACAAGATGTTCAACTTCAAACCATTCCATGCCAGGCTAGACCCAAACGACGCCAACGACGTTGGATTTGGCCCAACATCGTTGGGCCAGCAGCCAGAAAAGCCCAAACCCCGAGCACGAGTAAACATCGTCCGGCCCTCCCGCAGATCGAGGCGACTGACATTCACTTATTCGCGGCAAACGCGTCCCCGCCACGAGCCGCGAGCCCCGTGCTCGCGTTGTCGAGTACGAGGCAGGGAGGTCGTCCATGGGCACCGAGCAGCCCCGGCACGATGTCCCACGTGCAGACTGACTCACGTGTCGAGCTCCGCGATGAGGGGCCCCTTCCTGTTCTGGATGTGGTGGTCCGGCATGCTGCCCACGTACCGCCGGTTCTTCAGCACCGTGTAGCTCTCTGCACAAGGAGGTGCCGGACGGTCACACGCTTTCCCGGCGGCCTTCCCAGCTTCGTACCGCGAGCCGTCCGTAGCCCTTGGTGAACCTTTCTGGGCAGTCACTGCTGACTTCGGACCGATAACGAAAGAAGTTTGATACGCCAGAAAAGTTCACTTTGGAAAGTGGTTGGCCATGGGAGAAAGGACAAAAATTAGGGTTCTATTATTTTGTTTACGATGCGAACATATAGCTGCCGGCGTTTGCTGGCAGTCATGAAAAAACAAAAATGGGTGAGAATAAAACCAAATTTTTCTGTTTCGATAGAACAATATTAAAAAGCCAACTTTATTCGCTCGATTTATCGTAAGACGACTGACCGCACTGTGAGCGTTCCACCCAACATTCTAGACTAACATTCGCTAAACGTATCATAGCAGCCAACACGAGTTACGACGAGATGTAGCGTGGAAGGCAGTGCCATTGGTGCCACCCGCCGAACGCTTGGCACGCTGCTCGGTGCGTAGTTCTGCCTCCCTGCAGTGCCTGGAACGCACCTTCAACGACGCGTATGGTGTCCCGTCTCACCCTTGCATCAAAAGTAGCCTCCAAGTGACAACAAACGACGTCGCGGAAGTTGTTGCGTCGCTCCGGAACAAGCATCTACCACATACACTGTCGCCGCTGCGCCACTACCAGGATCGCAGCGGGCGACAGAGCGATGCTTCTTCAACATCAATGAGCAGGAATCAAGGGACTGCTTTTTAGGAAGCGGTAAAAGCGCCGGTTGAAGACGCGTTTACCGCCGGCCTTCGCTAGGTGATGTAGGAAATCTGCCACCGCGGCACCGTTATCCGGGGCATCGACCGACCTGCACCCTCCCTCGGTTTCCTACCTCCTTCGCGACCGAAGAAAAGGAAGCAAATTCTCTCTATAAGCCAACCATTGCACGAACGTGGAGGCTCCGGAGGCGACGAGTTTTCACTACGGATGCCGCGCTGACCTGGAGGGAGCGTTTGCAATTGGGAGAAGCGACGAGCATTCGCCGCGTTTTACGTCCTCTCGCTCCGAATACGACAAATCGCCGCAATGCCGGGCACGCCGCCCGGACGCAAAGGGCTTCGTATGCGACAAGCTTTTGTAGCGAAAGCTAGCGCCGTCCCTTCTTGCGGCGATGCTTCAATAAGCTCCCTTCTCCCAGACAAGGCGAGCACTCTGCATGCCCCGGCAAAGTACTATTTGCCGAGAAGATCACCTCTTTTGCGGAAAACCGGGGCGCACCTTCGGCCCCGGAAACCAACGAGGAACTTTCGGGGGCGTACCTCTGTCGGGGCTGGCGCCATACTTGTCTTCAATCCCGTCGATGGCCACCGTGATGACGAACGTCCGGAACAGCTCGTTGGACTCTATCTTCCTGAAGAAGGCGTCGTTGATGATGACATCAAAAGCCTTGCACGGATTGCCACCTGCACAACCGAGGATGCGTGTGAATGGCATGCCCAACAATTAAAGGACTCTGGATATGAGATTTCGTAGTATGTACAAATACCCTACGCTTGTGACAGCCATTAGGCATCTTTACCTCGACACTGCATTTATACGTATCTCCACATTGTTTATTCTACTTTTCGCGAAAAAAGTGGACTTGCATACCCGGGAAAAACATCCCTTACTAGGAAGCACTTCTTTACCCTTACACATTTTTATGATCAGCCTTCCATTCTCTTTTTGGGTACCGTTTGGCGATGTCAGAAACCAATTATTCGATTATTATAAAATATCAAACACAGCCTAAAAAGAGGCGCAGAAAGAGCTAGACCGTTTTTACGGCAGCCAATGCAATCGCGACTTGAACCCTTTTTTGCGCGACCGGAACTGCGGTTTAAGAAAAGCGGCTCAACAGTGAGTGATATTCTGATAGAATAATGTAGGACGGATTAAATCCCGATCATCCCGTTGTTCTAAACTTCCGAGTCCTTGGCAGGTCATAGAGTATTGAAAAGAAGAAAAACCTGGAAAGGAAAGAAATGCGATGCTTCCGGAGCAGGCATACGAAACTATGATGTTACTTTCAGGGTATGGATGGCTTGCCCCACCAAATTTCTTATGTATTTACAAATATGATCCTCCCACTCCTTAAACTTTCGAAGGAGCTACAAAGTGTTTTTAGACACAATTTCAGCCACGTGTCGACGCACGACTATGAGGTCCCATCTTTCTGTGTAGTGTTTTTTTTTTATGCGTAGTGCGTACGCCCGCAAACTATTTTATTAAAAATAAGTTACCGAGGAAGCGGCTGCATTAACACGGTTGTGATTGTAGCACATTGAATCGAAAGGGGACCGATGACGCGTGCCCAGTCCCCCACTTCTTCTCCTTCTGCCCAACCAAGGTTGGTAAATATTGATTCGACGCACCACGGTTGCGTCCGTGCACCGGCAGGCATGGAAGGGGTTTCCTGAGATAGACGGTTGAGGGCCTCCGCTTTGAGTCGCGCATCTCTTTTGGAATGTGCAACAGAACGATGAAGTACAAGCAAACGCGGTCTCGAAGATGTTCTCGACCCTACACGTGCCAGTCAACAGACACTTCACGGCGTCGGGCCCGTGTCCGTTGTTCGAAAAAATCCCAATAAAAGCCCGTTCACACGCTTGCATTTCCTAAAATCTGAGTCCTCGGAAGTTCTTCCGATGAGAGAAAATGCCGGCACGCCGGTGCCATCTACGAGGCGACCCTGGAACTGCACTCACTAGAGCCAAGGTTTTGTGCTAGTTGCAGGATCAAATGTGCTACTAATACTCCGTCTCACCCTACGATGGACAGGTGCCTAAACAATGGCAGGCGAAGCACTACCTCAGAAAAGCTTGCATCCGCATTGCAAAAGAGTGTGCAAGGGAAATTCCAATACGCAGAGTACAAAGAGCACTACTCTTACGCATGTGGTTCTCCGTTGTGAAGGCACACTTTTTTATATTGGTTTAGTGAAGGTACATGGTATTCAGTTTCACAAACATGTCAACACTACCATAAAATTGTTTCGTTTTAGTCATAACAATCCAATCCCAGAGCCAACCGAGGGTGGTACGAGGCTGACGGCGTTACAGATGAAGCACAAACAGACGAGTCAGCAGTTGTGATTCCCTTGAGTGTCGTAACCGTACATGCTGTGGAAAGGATCTGGGAACATCGGTATTGGTACAGCAAAAACCCAGGAAGCAGACGGAGCCACCGGGAGGGCTCGATAAGCAGACGAAGAACTCGCCTCCGCATGACGCGTCTTGACACACTGATAACTACGAAGAAACAAATATACCACGTGGTTTCCAACAAGCTCATGATTGCATCCAGTGGCCTGTAGCATTGGGCTTTAGTCCATCGAGGGATGAGACGGAGTACATCTAGAAATAGTGTTGTTTATAACATTGTCAAAAGTTCTTCCAGATAGGGAAGAAACAATGATGCCCAAAAAGAAATGGAATACAGTTGAACCTCGATTTAACGAAACCCGATTTTACGAATTTCCCGATTTAATGAACAAATTTGGATTATCCGCACAGCCTATGCGCGAGGTCTCCCTTCCTTGATTTTACAAAGTTCCCGATTTAACGAAATAATTAGCGGGTCCCGGTCACTTCGTTAAATCGAGGTTCAACTGTATACGGTAACTGCAAATGTCTCACAGCCGCCCGACAGATGGCACCCGTGCACGATCTCGTGGTATAAGGACCACGGTGGTAAGCGGCCTTAATAGCCAGACTGAGCATCAGTTACGTCATGGGAGGTGTGCTTGCCAAGCAGTTACCTTTGTCCAGCTCTTCATGGGGAAGGCCCAGGCTCAGGGGTACCCGGTACGAGGTCGGGTCTTCGGACTCCAGAATCTGCATCAGCTCCTTTTCGGATATCTCTCGAGGTTCCGGCAGCTGAAATCGTGACGATTGAGGGTGTTACCCCGAGATTAAATATGATCCCAAACGTGGCCGTTAACGGGAAGTGAATATTTGCAAGTTATCAAACTGAATGCTACAAAAAACCAGGTGTGGTTCGAGGCAGCCGGTGTAAAGGCAATATTTCTCATTTTTATATGGAGTGTACAGATCTACCCAATACTACAGTGGTCGCGAGTGGACGCTGTGTTTTCCACCGCACAGCGTCGCATCCATAGTGGTGCGAGCCAGTCCTTGTTTCAAACAATGAGAGCACATTACACTGAAACACGATGAACGAAATAACTGACTTCGAGCCCCGCAAGGCAACCTCGGAGCGACTCAAAATCTCTCCAGAACGCATTTGAAGCGGTGAAACAAAAGAAAGACAATGCCTGGACTCGAGCTCCACTAAAATAATGCCCAAACAAAATGATGGAAATAACTGCCGGTCTTAACCTCGGGTGTGTGGCAGACGTTGATGAACAACTTGGAGCCGTCCGTGTCCCTAAGCTTGATGCAGAATCCGGGGCTGGGCTTGATGGGCTTGGTCTTGGTGTCTGCAGATTCGGCTGCCAGCGTCTGGACCAGGTTTTTGAATTCTGCATTGGCCTGAAGGAGAACAAGGTTTCATTTAGGTAAGGACATCAATCTAGCATGAACAGAACTTCACATAAAAATGTAGAGATGGGATAAAGTTTTATTATATCCGATACATGTTCCGGCTAATATTCTAAAATAAAAGTGCAATGGAGAAGCCAGTGTCAATTGTAAGGATGGCAGTCTCTTTGCAACCGCCATTCGTATCTTCTCTCTGTATAGCAAACAAAACAACGAAGAAAATGAAAAAAAAAAAAAATAAAAGGGGCGACGCATGTCCCGTTTACTAGCGCTACTTTTGGAATTGTCTTCATCCTTCTGTGCACTGCTTACTATTATTTGAAGCATGAAACAATTTTCCCAAATCGCTACCTTGATGCACTAATGATTCCAACATCAGCACAAACCTGTCTTTGCATCTTTTTTCTTTATTTTTGTTTTTACAAGAAATATTAATTTCAAGCTATTCACAGTCCCACTGCAAGTATTGCATTGTCAAAGAGCCTTTGTCCTAAGAAATGCAAATAAAATTTTGCTGTGATGCCTTTAGTTTTGTTACGCTCGAAAATGCTAAGAGTAACGTAAGTGTAAAAAGAAAAAAAAAAAGAAACAAAGACAGTAAACTGTCAGGGACACGGTTTAAGTGGAGACAGACAGTAGTGCCCTAAGCAACGTTTTAACCATTTTTTGTTCCTTCTGGGTGTTATTTCCTGTGATTATGCACTCGTGAAGAGGCACGCTTGCAGGACACCTATCGATAAGCAATGTTCAACACTTTAGCCAGACTTTTCTCAGCGACAGGTATACATATCTCTATAAACTAATTATAAAAGATGGGGGTGTTAGATGATATAAAAGTGCAAGTCCCTTCTCCTTATTGTATGGGCTTCTTGGCTTTCTGTGGTGCCGCGGCTCTACCGCACCAAAAATATTACGTAGTGTCTAGAGTACCATCCAACGGTACTCCACTCACGCCTTCAAGTGCCGTTCGAAAGTCTCATATAAAGCAAATTGTAAAAACAAGTTTTTCAAAACTGTAGCGTAGCTTAGTGGCAAGATGTCTGCCTCACATGCAGCGGACCTGGGTTCAATCCACAGAGTGGGCTTACTTTTTTTTTTTTTTGTTCTCACACTTTTTGTTTTGTTGAGGCATTTGGGGATAATTACGACATTTCTTTTTTTTACAATTAACACACACAAAAAAAAATAATGTTGTCGACGAAATTCTCCTGAACAAAATGGTATGGGACTCCCTTTCCGAAGGTGCATGGGGGACAGCGTGGCTTGGGTTACCAGCTGGATGCCGCGAAGCGGCGTGTACAGAATCTTGGAGACAAGCTCACCGGCGAAAAGCTCACCACAAAACTGGCGAATGCAGAGAAAAGCTCACCGGACATTAAGATTAAGCGTATGCGGACAAAAGCTCACCGATTTTTTTCTTCTTTTTATATGGAAGCTGTTGATCATGCTTAACATATATCAATTTATTATCATTAAAATTCGTCAGCTTTATAAATAATAAAATGCCATTTTTTGTATTATTTGTTAAGCTTATCGGGTATATTGCTCCCAAAATAATAACTGCCGGTGAGTGTTTTCTGTGGCTTACTTTCTAGGCAACGAAAGCCTAACTGAAAACTTTATGAACCTGAAAAACAGTAAAAAGTATGAAAACTTAATAATGTCTGCCTAAAACCTAAAAATCAAAACTGTAAATGTAGAAAATCCGAAAGTGCATGCGCAACAACACTGTGCCTGAAATTCTCTTCGAAGCTTCTGCTAACCTTTGAAAGCAGGATAAGACACTCGGTAGGATATCGAGGCTTCTTTCTTCTGCACGTTTTCTAGCCGTTCGTGCTGGTGTTTCCACACATTGCCTTTGTGTGATAGTGCCCTTCTACAATGAGCCACCCATCACCTTCAGAGTTGCACACTCGCACAGCGGTTACTCGTGACCTATATAAGAAGTAGTCTTCTGTAAGGTAGTGAATAGGGCGAGTTGGTGAAGGTTATACATGATGAAAACCGCTCAAACGACGACGAAGTGAAGACAACAAACACAACAGGACGAAGCTGTGCTCGCTACTTAAGTTTTGTTATTTAAATTAACAGGAAGAAAGCAGCGTAGCCGACACTGATTACATCGACAAACACCTACTTATCTATTAGGTACTACACAATATTTGGAGCTGAAACGGTTTAAACACTGCTATTCACATTAGGTCGCAAAGAACAAACCTTTATTGGACAGGGCTACCGACGGCGCACTGTCAGTTGGCAATATTTTTTTTTACCGGTGTACGATGCTCTGATTACACATATATATATATATAAAAGAGGACATATTTTTAATGAAGTGACGAATGCGAATGGGGTTAAATTGCCACGTTTGACACAGAATCTGCTAAATTAAAAAATCGGTGAGCTTTCCTCCGCATCCGCTCAAAGGCCGGTGAGCTTTTCTCCACATGTGCCGGTTTTGCAGTGAGCTTTTCTCTGGTGAGCTTATCTCCAGTGAGCTTTTCTCCGGCGAGCTTTTCTCCGCCACCCGCGTGTACGACGGGGCCAAGTGGGTGAATAGTTTTGTAATTAGAAGTCACAGACTGTCGCTGCGAAGCGGCATGAACGTAAGCGGGGCGGTGGGTTAACGAGCTCCCCAGTGATACACGCGCCGTCCGACTTTCTTTTGGACGGCACTGTAGACACGGCCAAGATATTACTACTATTACTATCTAGTATCCCCTTCCTCTGGAAAATAGCGAGCACTTGGCGCGCGCTCGCCGAGCAGATTCTTGTTTCCCTCGCGAGATGCGAGCAATCTCTCCGTGTGCCGCTTGTAGATCTGGAGCCAGTGGGGCGCTCACCGAGCGGCTCCAACCGCTCCGTGGAAAAGTGGCGGAGCACGTTGAGCGGTTCGGAGTAGTTCTTCGCGCAGCCTTTTTCGGAGGAGTACGATCTGTAGTCGTCTCTCGCACTGTTTCAGTTTCGTTATCGACATTCCCGCGGAAAAGTGAAGGCGTTTCGCGGCTTTTTTGTTTCGATTGCTGGGTGGGCTCTCTTGGTGTGCTTGTTTTCGTTCCCCTCGTCATGACCGACTCGTCCGAGCATACTGCGGCGATGACATCGTTGCACTTAATTTCAGGAGGTCTAATAAAACGCAGTGAGAGCGACAAAGCTACCAGCTTAGCTCCAGCTCGAGTGACAATGAGGCAGCCGTTCTCGGCGAAGTGTTTGCCGAGTCGTTTGGCTGGCCAGCGAAGAGGCCCAAGATACCGCGTTACGTCGAATGCGTTGTGCGCGCCTATTCAGATGAAGAGCTAGGTATGTCGTTTGTTCGTTTTGTGGTCTCTGTACTGTAATTGGAATAATTAGAAGACAGCACGCCAAATACTCCGCAGATGGAAGTCGCCTTCGGAGATGACGATCACTTTACGGCGTACATGTTTGGTATTGCTTAATAGCATCCTACGGCTCGTACAAGTACTTCTAGTTGTCTTCATCGGGCTTATATAACTGTAAGGAAAAATAAATTTTGTCTTAACGTCGGGGTCATTGTTAATCAAGTAGTAAATAATAAATTTGTTGTCAAAGCATAGAGTTCAGATCAGAACTTTATGCTCTCAGCAAGATAGCAATCGAAACCGCAACTGTTCAAAAGCGAGAGCAGACGCTCTGGAAGCGGTGGCGCTGGGAGCGTTACGCTCGATTTGCTCCGCAGCGCGTGCCACTCGGATGGATCAGGTGATTGATCGCTCACGGAGGCTGACCGCTCGACGACAGCTAGCGCGGAGCGCTCGGCATTTGCCAGGGGAAGGGGCTATAGGTTCGTCGCATGGCGCCAGTACCACAATCACTTCGCGTTCAATGAGGGAGAAACAATTTTAACTTGATGACAGTGGATTCCCTCGATCGGCAACCTGTCGCTGAACCAAGCGAGCAGGTGGATATCTAACACACTAAGCTTGAGAGTGGGGTAAAAGAGGGGTGAAGCCACAGTGGTCGTGCACATTCCTGGGAAACTCAACTGAAAATAAACTGCCATTCAACAATTATACCTGAAGAAACAGGGACTCAAACGGGGCTTCGCAGTCGTCAGGAACTTCAAGGAAAGCGTTGTTTTTGCTCATCTTATCCAGTTAGAGCATCACTTGCCCGACGTGCATTCAGTACTGCGACTAGAGGCTTGGACCAGTTTTGACGCTCATGGGCGCGGCCATCTTGGGTCGCTGCGGGTCTTCAAACAACTTCAAACTCATTTGCTAAATATAAGCTAAAAAAACCTTAATTAAAAGTTATAAAATAAATATATAAATATTTTGTATTTTTTGTACAAAACCTTTACTATTAATATACTTTTACGCTTATAAATATTTATTTTGCGCGTTACTACTTGCGGGCATTTAAACAATTTAAACATGGCTAGCGGCTTGAAAATCGTGTCGTCTGACAAAGGTCCCAACACCGTTAAAGCAATTTTCGAGAACCCTAGGTACGGACCGGTGATGGAATCCTACGATGTAGCTCACGTAAGTCAAGAAAAATTGTTTCTCGCGACTTTCGGCGTTTTTTTAAAGCACGTAACTCGTATCATTCAGCTTATCCCGTGACCTCGGTACGCTGCAGCTCAGGCCAGCCTCGCCTGCATCCCTTATCAGCCGGCTGTCTACTGCGATAAGCGCATCCTCGTATAATCTGCATAGCGCGGAATGATGCGATGGCCATTCTCTAATTGCATTGACCGGAAACCCCTAAGCAGAAATTTTGAGTTGTCTGTATGTGCCTTTCTTTGCCGGAGCGCATTAGCCCGCGCCTGGCCGGGGACTAACTACGCGGCTTCAGCAGGAGTGTGTCGCTTTTCTCCCTCCATTTCATTTAATATTAATAATCACCATCGTTTCATCTGTTAGCACACAGCCGAGGAGGCAGCCAGTACTTGGAACACCGATCCTCGTGGCCCGCGGTGCTATCAGTGCCTCCTGACTTGATTGCTCTTTGAGATATAAGTGCACCATAGGGTCGAGACATAGCGTCTCTAGCGGTTGCTGCACCACTCGGCACTTTCAAATCGTCTGCTAGCGAAAAACGACGCGGTCACAGAAAAAACACACAAAATGTTGTCGTCGTTTTTTTTTTTTTTCTTTTTTTTTTTTTTGCGCGCCTTTTTTATGATGAATTCCACCAGCTTGCCCAAATATCTATTCTTCTAAATGATACCCTTCGCTCCTTGACACTGTGAAAGCAACCTGACATAACATAAAGTTCAGTGTCGCTTTGGGTTATCATGCAATAACCAGTTCACTACTTTACAGCTTGAACCCGGCCATGTGTCTTTCAGTAATCGGGTGAGCCACATCAAAATGTTGAGGGCGCCGATGGACGAACGGCGACACATAGTTAATCTTTGCCTGCGAGACTATTCGCAGAGGGCTATTGCAGATAGGACAGGGCGGCCATTATCGACAGTAAAACGAAAAATGCTCTTAGTCATTGGTGAACGGTTTCGTCGACCGTTCTTCGTTTGCAGACGATCTGGAAGTGCAGAGTGGTGCGGCGATCGCTAGAGGCGATATGTCTCGACCGCAAGGTGCACTTAAACTTCAAAGAGCAATGGACCGAGGGCATTGACAATACCGCGGGCCACGTGAAGCTGTGTTCGCACTCATATTGATCGTGATAGTACAGGCTTCTGCCTTTTGGCTGCCTCAGGCACTCGGCTGTGTGGAAGTTGTGCCAATAAACACCTTTTCACCTATAACACTGCCATACTTTGGCGATTTATTTTTACAGCTCTTGGTGGAAACTTCTCTGGCAAAATGCGTACGTAGGTATCTTTCGCGGAAACTCCCGGTGACGTCATAAACCACATGACTGCTACCAGCCGCCGTCGCTAAGCTTATGCAGAGTGCAAGCACTCCACATAAGCTCAGCGCTCACTTCTTGCACAGCGGGTGCAAGAAGCAAGATTGCTTGCTTCTTGCAAGCAGGTGATGTCAAAAAAATAGTGGGTAGACCTCGAGGCATCTAGCATTGGGGCCTACCCACTACCCTTTCAGTCAAAGCCAATCAGAGCTCAGTGTCATTTTGACATCACCGCAACATTTGCACAAGAAGCAGACGACCTGCTACTTGCATACTGTAACTAAAATTTCCGTTTCTTGAGCCGAATTTTAACCACAGCGACCTACAGATGCCAGCAATCATTTCCTGTACAATTAACCGCCCTACCAACTGAGCTATGGACGGGACGAATTTCAGGGAATAGACCCTTCCCGGAATTGAGTCTGGCCACTTTGGTCACTATCATCATCTGAAAAGTGGCATATGTGCTATACTAATGGCGGCCTTTTGTTTACTGATAAAGGAAGAAGTTGAAGATGCTCCTAAGCAGATGATTCGAGGTCTTTACATTCTAGACATTAGCGCGATGTGAAGCAGGAATTGAATGCAAGGGCTGAGTAAGCGTTCATTTCTAACTCGGGCCCAGTAAATCTGTTAGTATCGCACACTCGGCTTCAAAGCCCCTTGATGTGTAGAACTTTATCAAGGCGTTCTGACTGGTTGCATCTTTTTCGCCATCGCCACTGAAAGAGGTTGAAAAAGAGCTGTACAGTGAAGCGCACATTCTCATTTACTGTTGACTTGCGAAAGTGACGGTGCCCCATAAAATACTGCAGATGACAGGTTCATTGCCGCCATCAGTACGGTAAAAGTTAAACTGCCATTTGAGTCACCAGATGGCACTGAATTCTGAAAGGGTCTATTGAAGGCAGTATACCTTCTTTTTACTTCTACTTTTGATAATGTTTGGGCATTTCGTGAGCCTTGAGTGCACTATCGAGTATGAATGAACTGCGAACAGCGTGGCCTGTGATACACTCTGCGCAACCTAGATGCAACTAGGAGCTGATAAAAGTATGAGGTGGAAAGGGGCTGTTAGGGTGTGGGCCTACTTCGGCGTGCATACCCCCTATTCTCCACCCTTCGCAGTTTTATCTGCTCCTAGTTGCCTCTAGGTTGCGCAGCAGGTGTCCTAGGCCACGCTGTTCGCATTTCATTGATCCCTGATAGCACACGCGACGCCATAGCACAGCAAGAAGCGGCGAGTGGATGCTGGGGACCGGGTGTTCAAAAGAGACGCACCGTCATTTTCACCGACTATAGAAGGTGTTAGGTATAATAATACCACCTAGAAAGCCTGCGCCTTTCATCCCCAAACGTCATCACCAGTAGGTTCATGCTGTGCCACCTGTCTTGCGTCAACATCGTCGAGGGCACTTCTTGCAGCATCTCGCAACAAGCGCAACTCTAGCGTGCGGCAATGCCAAGACGGAAGCCGCTTTACGATGGCCCTGGTTGAGCTTCAGCGTGTCTTGGGGCTGGTCAGGGATCCACTAGAAATGACCTCCTTGCAGGCCTTGTCCCCTGGATGGCATAGGCAGTAGTCGACACTCCACTGTGCATGCATGCCTTGTGGCTAGACCTCAAAGTCTGTAGTGGATACCAAAAACGCATTATGGATGAGACAGGCGATCGGAATCAAGAGAACTGGAAAGGGTGCAAAAATTTTCGAAATCGTGTTAAGGAAACGGTGCAGAAAACACGACGGCCCCACAATTATGGCGATTTACACGAGCAGCAAGCTGCCGGCGCTGTGACGCGCATTGCACGCACGCATAAAAGCTCTGAAACTTTTGTACCATCTATGCTAACAGTTTTCAAGCTTGTGGCCGTCACGGACACCTTGACCCACTGGGAGGTAATTTGCGGACCCCCGCTGTATTCTGCATTAGAGGTCTCGCGCGATGGCATAGGAGAGCTTTTTAACGCGATAGCCTTAAGGAGCTCGTGTCGGAGAAAGTCCAGCGTCGGTGTGACCAAGAAATCCCATAATGCATCGCATGCAGCCACGTGTGCCGTCACACTTGGCTGTGACGTCATGACCTTATCAACTTGCTAAATTTGGAGGAAAAATTTAGCAGAAAATTTTTTGCTAACTTTAACGGGTCGAAAAGTTCATGACGTCACAGTCACATGTGACGTCACTTATCACGTGGCATGACGTCGTGTAACGCTACCGACTAGACCATGCACACGCGCTAGCACCGCTGGGGAACGTGCACGGGTTTATATGAGAAGGCTTTGCAAACGGGGTTTGATAACGCTACGGCGTTCCACCTTTAAAGCAAAGCTTAAGCGTCCCCCAAGTTGTTTTTTTTAGAACGGTTTTTTGACTTGGCGCAGACCCCCGCAAACGCTCTCGAATACCCTCGGGGGTCCACAAACCGCAATATGAGAACCACCGATCTATACATCCTACACTACCCACATCCGAGGCACATCGCAAAGTTTTGGGGGGTGGCTGATAAATTTCGTCCTAAAACTCCAAGGAATGGAACCCCAACGTTGCTGTTGCGGCTAACATTTTGTAAAGATGAAGCTGTCCAAAGGCTAAACAATGGTGTCTTTTTGCTTTAAATGCAATACGACGAGGTTCTCTTTCAATACCTCTGGTGAATGCGCGACCATTCACGCTTGATTGCTTCCAAATCCCGTTTCCCCTCGCTCGACCAAGCAGAGACCGCCGGGTCCATTCCTGCACCATACTGTCCCTTTTTCGTCGCACTCTGGCCTCGACGAGGTTTGTGTCAAGTTTTGAGAATTATCTCCTATTACTAAAACTCCACTTTGGGCGAGTTGCTCGTTCCTACCTCCTACGCTAGAGCGCACAAAGCCGACGTGCAATTTGTGCTTCGTTCCTTGCGCAGAAGGAGTGGTTTGCTCTCCTACCCTTTGTGGAAGAGACTTCATAGGGCAGACTTGTTGTCGTCTTAACGATCAACTTAGTGAACGCAACAATGTTATCAAAGGGAATTCTGGATATCTTGGGTTTTTTGCGGGGATTGCGGTTGTATGGCACATCTAACCAACTGCAGCGTACGGGACGGGAATATGAATCGAATCACTTGGAGATGATAGAAGTCGAAAATATAGAGCGACGAAATGATCAGTATGTTGGCGCTTGTCTCTAACTTTGTCGGGGAAGGAGTTACACTACTTAGCCACAAGTTCGAAAAGACAGTAGTGGAGATATTGAGTCGTTCCTGTTAACGCAATGAAGATAATGAGGAAATCAAAAAACGGAATTGTTAGTCAGCACTTCCCTTTCTCTGTGCCCGTGCAAATGCTTGTCGGCTTTTGTGTGCCGTTACGTGGGAGCATGGCAGTTGTGGTCAGGCCAAGGAGGTCGGGCACGGCCGGGGTCCCCTGGAGAGAGGTGCGAGCAAGGCCGTTGTTTGTTCCAGGCATGGATCAGGAGTCATGGCGGAAAGTTCGCCAGATATGTGGGTGGGAAGTTTGTGACCGCCGCCTCGGACAGTCCCCGGGAGGTAAAGGACCCTGTGACCGGTGCCCGTCTGGCCCTGGTCGACCTGGCTTCCGCCGCGGACGTCTGCGCTGCCTTCGCCACGGCCAGAGAGGCTCAAGCCTCTTGGGCCAGGTTGGGAGCTTACGAGCGATCCAATTGTCTTTATAGGTATGTTTCACTTTTGCACCAAACTCTTAGTGGGATACTTGATTTTGCAGCTCTTGTTGCCCATCATAGAGCTGCTGTGGAGGGAAGCATTGCACACTAAAAGCACCAAAAGATGGGAACAGAGTAAAGATGGACAACAACGCGAGGCACCTCGTGCCAATTTTTACTCTGTCCCCGTCTTCTAGTGCGTAATGAAACAAACCAACCAACCAACCGTCAAACTCTGCGAGCGCCCACAACTTTGGGGGCTGACTCGCCGGAATGCTGTCAAGCGTGCCACTCCCGAAGTCCCAGCATTAGTAAATATTTGGTGACTGTGGCGCTCTCTAATTGCAATGAGCGACTGGAGAAGGGTAGCCGACATTTTTTCGTGGTAGCCTCCACCTCAAATCAACTGGCCTTGCAGCATGGCCCGCAGCATGGACAAGCACACGGCCCTCCTGGCGCTGGTGGAGAGCCTGCAATCTGGCAAGACGCTGAGCGAGGCCCGAACCCGAGACATGGCGTACCTCACGCAGAGCCTCTTCGTCTGTGCCAGCTGGCTCGTGCGCCTCAAGGACTCCCTTCCCTGCTCCCGACCGCGAGGCGAGGGACACCACATTTTGCTTTGCCGCTTAGATGTGCCAAATCTGATGCCACTAACAAATTTTCCTATCGCGATGCGTGGAAAAGATGTCCCGCGTAATACAGTGATGTCTCGTTAGCATAAACACCTCCGTTCTCCCACGAAAGCCTTCATAATATGAGTTGTCCATAATAACGAGGCAAAAATGCGCGCATTTGCCTAGTTTGTTTCCCAGAATATGTCTATATTGCCGGGTATCCGTATTAGCGGGGTTCCCATTAATGAGACGTGACAATTCTGCCGACAAATGAACCGGTCGTTGCCTCGCAAACTGGCGAGAAGGAAAATGAATGTCTCATGCTGACGGTCAAAGGTCATGTCCGTTTTTGGCCGTATCAATCTAGAATGTTTCGCACCCTTCCTTTTTAGAGGTTAAAAATGAAAGACACTTACAACTCCCTGTTACGCCGAATTGGAGCGCAGCTCTTGTGGAGGAGGAGGAGAGAGTATGCCCCTCTTCCTCAGTCATACCCTCTCCTCCTCTGCTCCTCTCTTGAGGTATTTCGATTTTGCGATACACCATACTAAACAATCTGAGAAAGGTATATATATATATATATATATATTTTGTGGTATTCTCGTGCACCGCTTGTCCGGAGAAAGGAAATATAGTTCTCGCATCTGGAAGCTCCACGCTGTCAAAGTTCTGCCGGTGCCAGGAAACAAGACAGCAGGAGCAAGGCGGGAGAACAAGACAGGCTTATGAGTCAACACTTTGACAAAGCACGTGCTACTCTTCATGTCACCCTACTTGTTGTCGGCTCTGTCGAAGACTGCTTGGCGTTTTTGATTTCCTCAGCATTAGTCTTCAGCTTGCTCCCCCAAGATAACACAGCAGAACAGCCAGTGCACGTCCCTCGGGACCAATGAGATGTTTTCCTGCATGAGTGGTATGAAGTTCTTTTTTGTCTTGCACAAAATATTTGGTGAGTGTCGTAGGCGAGAGATACAGACCTAACACTAGCAAGCCGTTGTCAACCTTGGCGGCACACAATTTACCAACTTCATCTGACGTGCCACAGAGATCGATAGGCAGCACAGATCCATACCCATGTAGATGGCCACTTGGATAATGAGCACACCACGTTTTCATACGTTCCTCCGTGTGATTTATGAATGGTGATATCACTTGCCTGCACAACGGGTAGCTGGCATCTCCCCTCCTCCTCTTCTTCTTGTCCCTACTCATCTACTCCTCCTCCTCACCTCCTCCTTCCTCCTCCCCTCCTCCTCCATCCTCCTCTCATCCTCTATCCTCCTCCCTTTCCTCTCTCCCTCTTCCTCCTCCCTCCCACGAGGTGCATTATGGGAAACTTCCCATAATGCAATGCGCGGGTCACGAGTGAGGCCTGCACGGTGCATAATGGAACGTTTTTCATAATTCAACGCGGAGTTATGCCGACGCCACCCAAGCCGCCAACGGGCAAATAAGAGCCGCGCTCAAAAACTTAGACTATTCTTAATACGTAATGACGTAACATTTGATTCCGATGCGCAAACGCTTCATAATCGATGTTGTTTTCGGCAGTCGCATTCGGTCACCACTGTCAGGTGCTACCGCCGTAATACCATCCAGCTTTCGTTTTTTCCGGACCTCGCGAGCGTTCGCGTGGGCATGTTACGCACTTTGCCTCGCGAGTCTAGAAGGTGTCGACATTTTGTCCCTCCAGGTGTTGTGGGAGTGGTGGTGGACGACCCCAGCGCCGTCGCCGCTGCAGCCGCCTGGCGCGTGGTTGAGGTTCTGGCGACGGGATGCGCGGTGGTGCTTCTGGTGCGCCCGGAGTTCTGCCTCTCCGCGCTGGCCTTTGCGGAGGTCCTCGCTTCTGTGGGGTGAGTGCCCACCTCAGGCCGACCAGCGAGCCTCGCGGTAGAAACATTTGCCCGGCACCGCTGCAATCCCTGGAACGCTTCTCCAACCGAGCTCTCTTTGCATCCTCAAAAGGGTGCCTCCACATATTCTTCGGCATCCACGAGTAGGGATGCTGCAACGACGCTCGCATTTGCTCGAATGTTCTGGCGCAACTTCTCCTTCCAACCGCCGGGATCCAACAGTACGGTGCTCCGGCTCCTGCGACGTGTTGCCACTTGGGGACCACTCTGGATGCACGGCGGGAGAGGACACTAACCACACCGGTTGAAGGCATGTTCCGGGCACCGCAGCACCGCCGGGCTGCGTTACAGAGTCGACCGTCTCTCTCCGAGCACTCGCGCACCCGACCCCCGTTTTCTCAAGGGTTGCTAAGAAGTCGCAGAACGTGGGATTGAAGCGTTGATAAACTCGCACTTCCACGGCGAACGGAGGAAAAAATTCAATTCGACGTGGTAATGCATTTATTAGACCCTCGCATCCAAAGGTTGAGTTTTTGGATGCTCGATACGGGGCAAGGGGCTCGGTACAGGCAACGGCCGCAGAGGACTCTTTTGACGGCCAGTGTTGGACGGGTCCGGTGGCATCCCCCGGCCCGATCAAAGAGCCTCTTCCGAAAACGCGAGCCGATGCCCGCCCTCCCCTCTGTCAAAATTTGTCCCGAACCAGAAGCTGAAGTAAAAATATGCTTCCTTCTGCTAAGAGTCGCAAACGACGCACGTCACAACGTTGCGTCTTCCTCGGTACCCTCGCAGCGTATTAAATGAAACAGAACACAGCTCAGGTGATCCTTTGCCGGACGAAGTGCGGTCAATGGAATGGATGGCAAATGGGGGGGGGGGGCATGGCGAGCGCAGCGTAAACGGCAGCCGGGTGCCTTCGCACTCAAGCGACGCTTGGCGAAGGTGCTACGAAGGCGGCTGCGCACCTATATGCCGCTTCGTGCATTTACGACTGCTTCGACCCAATGGGATAAAAACCTAATTTTAGGCCTTTCTTGACTGCCTTCGACCGTCTATGCGGCGATTGTAAGCGGTCGTGAGTGCATGAACCGGTTTTAAGAGTGGCAGGCACACTTCTCTTCTCTCTCGTGCTACTCGCGACGGTAGACCTACGGAAACGACGCCTAAGGCTCTCGCAGTTCCCTAATCCCCACACTTTCTCCCGCACGATTATCTCTTTGGGAGTGCCACCTGTTTCGAATCGGTCGGTTTTACCGCGTGTGTTCCCCTTCTCCCAGACAGCAATGGCAGAGAAAAGAGAATGAGAGGGCCTGCGAAATAAACCTTTGGTTCTGCGCCGCCTGTTAGATAGGGGAGGGGAAAACAGTGGGAGGCGAGCGAATGTGGGAAGCGCACAAAGCCCGACATGTGTAGGCGGGGCGGCACATCTCGGAGGTGGACCTTCTCCATTTTTCTGCAGCCTTCCTAGAGGACTGTTCAATGTCCTCCCGGTGCCGGAAAACGCCGTTGGTGAGCTCCTTCGCGGCGCCGCAGCAGACGCGGTGTTTTTCATCGGACGCGCACGGACGGGCTTCCTGGTGAGGCAGGCCCTGGCTGGGTGCAGGACCTCCTTTTCGAGCTTCCACGCCGGCAGACAGGTCGCGGTGGTCCTCGAAGGGGCCGACCTGCACAGCGCCGCCTGCGGCATCTCCGAGGCGTTTGCCCGCAGCTGCGGCAAGGTACGTGCGTACGACTTTGCGGTCGGTGGATTTTGTCGGGGCTGCAACGAAGCCGACTTCTCGGTCTCAAAGTAGTTGCGCGCATCGAAGGTAGAAGTATGGCACCTGGGGTGCGTCTCCGATTGGTGCGTTTAACGCGTCCAAGAAAGTGCTTCCTCAATTTCCACATGAGGACATTGTGTCCCTGCCGGTATCGCAGCGGCGGAAGTGGCGGACATTCGTTGCGCTGTGGATCGCCCCCGGGCTTGATGGTCCATGGAAGCTTCGGAAGTTGGAGCGGCACAACGATGATGACGCTCGCATTTTCTCGTGCTTTTTGCCAGAGTTTCTGCGACCGACCGCCAGGATGATGACATCCGACGACCGGACTCTCCAATTTTTGGAGGTCGTTTGTTGGCACTTCGAGACTGCTTCCATCGTCCCTGCGTCGAACGACAAACACTCCGGACAGAGATGCATTCGAGGCATTGGAGGAGAAGCGACGATATCTCGCGTTAAATAGCCAGACATTAAATATGGCACCCCACCATCAGATAGGGTCAGAAACGGTATCGAGAGAGCGCCGTTTTACGATAATTATTAGATATTCTATAAAGACTGGGAAACGGGCACTTTTTTAAAAGGAGCATGCAATAGGACGGGCTTTGCCACCTTGCACCGGAGTGCTGAAGAAGCAGCTAACGAAGAGGAGCATCTTGGTTAGCCGGGCGGGCTGGGAAGTCTGGGGTGGGCGCTCGACGGGTCCTTCGCTCATAGTCGGCAACAGGTTAATGGATTGGGGGATGCTCATCTCTCCACTTTTCACTTCAGCCGGCCTTCTTCATTTACTCTGCTAAAGTGGGGAGAGGTGGGTGAAGCTTCCCCCGAACTCTTAACTTGTTGTCGACCATGGCTTTCGAAGGTTTGGAACGTAGCGGGTGGGCGCCCAATGTGAAACGGGCGCACGTTCGGTATTTAATGGCATTTCTTATACTTAACCTTATCATCCAGTTTATAACGCTCTGCGTTCGTTTGGGCAGTTAACCGGTCGTGAAGCAACCCCATTTGCCCAGCCCGTGTTTTCGAAGCAGCAATTTGGGTGTTTGTATTACACGCCTACATCACACTTGGGTTGAAATAGACTCAAATGCATCTCCGTGCAACATTTTATATCGCGTTTTGGCTCGTGCTCTTCCCTAGGAAATGTAATAGTTTTCCCACACTCACAATCACGAGGGATAGCGATCCTCGAGTCATATTCTGCCCCACTCTATGGCCAGGCCGTCCTACTTTTGCGCGCACTCGCGGCGGTGCAGAGAACGGGTCACGCAGTGCTTTCCCTTTCCTTTCCAGGGCGAAGCCTCGGGACTTCACGTCTTTGTGCAGGAGTCTGTCCACGGGACGTTCTCAACGCTCCTCACTGAACGGTTCTCTCGGCTCAGGGCAGGCCTGCCCAACGACAAGACGGCAGATCTAAGCTGCTTTTCTCCGCTTCCCTGCGAACCTTACTCCGGGGCCGACATCGGCAAAATGCCTGGAGCTGTGGTAACCAGACTGATTCCTTGTCATACTTGTGCACGGGGAATGTTTTTCGGGGAGGAATGTGCGTGATGTCGCTAATCGGTGGGACTTCCTCCCCGATTCGGGAACTCGCACGAATGGCAGGGTAGAAAAACGGATGCGTACATGAAACGGTGAAACGGTGGTACGCAGTTATAGCAGCAGTGCTGTTAGATGCGAATATAACCTAATAGCTTCTTGGGGAAAAGAACCTAACAAGAAATCGCACAAATGGGTGGGCACCTTCCCCACATTCGGGAGAGAGTTAAGAACAGGGGGTGCGCTTAGAAGCGCGTCGATTAGGCAGATGCAAAGCCTCTCGCAATGGCTCATTTCTTTTTTATATACGCAGACCGCGGACGTCTCCGGCATTGCGGCAAAATGTCCGACGGTGCCTGTGCTGGTTCCGGACGTGGCCCCGTCTTCCACCGTTGTGGATGCCGTGAGTTTTGCCCGTTTCATCCCGACCTCCCCGTTCGGGGACGAACGCATCGAAGCCGCAGAGTGCCTTCAGAAATGAAATACGCTCGTCTCAAGCCCATTGTGAAAACTCATTAGACATCGACGGTAGATTAGTTTTTAAGAATATTATTCGTGCAAAATAGTTTTATCGTCAAAATGCCTCAGAGACTGGCGTATTTGCTGTTGGACTTCTCGTAATCTCAATCGGAAAGCTAAAAGAAAGTTTGTATGCAGTCACGGATTAGCTCAGTGGCATTCCACGACCTGTTTCCCCCCGGCCGTCCAAAGGGAGCTCTCGCATCTTCCCTTAATCATAGCGTGGTGCCGGGAAACCATCCGAATCCATGGGGGCCCGCATAAGAAAGCGGGGTTCGGACACCCGGCACCCGCGAGCTCGAGGTGCGCGAGACGCCCGAGCGGCGTCCGAGGTGGAAAGCTCTTACCGGCAGTGGGACAGCTTAAGCTCCTCTCCGCTGCTGCCGCCTTGTTGGTCACTATAGTTTGCCTTCTGCCCGTAGTGAAAGTGTTGACTGCTTTTTCACGGATTCCCAAAGTTTTGTTTATTTCGCCGTCCACGCATTTTCCCATAAATTTAGCAAGGAAATTGACATCTCGCGATGCCAGGTCGTGCAAGCTAGTATACGCCAATTTATTTTCTCTTTTAAATTTAGCGGGGAGCCTCGCGTCGCAGGACCTATAGACGAATTTGTTTTTCCCGCTAAATTTAGCGGGGATACGGATATCAGTAAGAGTTCTTCGTCGCTTCCTGAAATGACTGTTCGATGTCTTCTAAACAAATTTAAACAATCACTTTTTAAATACCGCATTCCACGCATTACAGGTCTTTGGAGATGAAGGTCATCTCCACTTTCTTTGTCCACCTCCGTTCTACCCGGCGACGCAGTACTTGCACGTCGTGTCGGACGGTGGCGACTCCTTGCAGCTCAAAACTCTTCGCCGGGTGCTTAAGGACGGGAGCAAGATCCCGAGACGTCGGCGGTTTCCGGAGAGAGAATGAGAATGACGAAAAGAAAGCAGATGACTTGTTTGGTGCATTAGTTTTGTCGTGAGGAGTCCAAGTTATTCGAGCGCTCGTCGACTTTGCTCATTTTCGTACAATGCCCGACGTAGGTGTTTTTCACCGAGTAAGTACAAAATAAAGCTAAGAAAACAATGAGCACGGACCTCACAAGCGATGTTGTCCCGCTTCGCTTTAGAGCGTCGCTGGCGATTCCGGACCTATCGGGGCAACCAACCGGACCGCCGACGTCCGTGTCCATGCCCCGCCTTCCTAGAGTGGCCGCAATGCGTGGGAGCTTCCCCCTAGATTGTTGTAGCAAATACCTCGGGGACCAATACTGGAAACTTCCTCAGCGCAAGGGCGAAAACCGATCGCGGCACTCCTGGCGAGTCTGGAGTCTTCACTAGCGGACAAACTCCTTGGAATGCATTGGCTTTGCCTATTTAAGCTCGAGGGAACCAACAAAAAAGCGTCGCAACATTGTTTTCTTTTTGCTTTGATTGGTAAGAACTGCCATTTCGTGAGTGAAGGTTGCGTTCTTTCCGTAAAAAATGTTTCTTTGCTTTTAAGGTGCAGTTTTTCTTTTTAGCCAAGAAAACATTGTGATGTCAGCGTTTATAAAAGGCGTGAAAAACAGATATCTATCTTCTTGCTTTTGTTTTTAAATACTTGAATATCTAAAACTCTCAAAACTTGGATGTTTCAACTCTAGTGTCCCTATCAATCAATACGTCTTGCCTCTTCTGTTGACATTAATTACCATTGTCACAAATACCCCGCTCATACCTATCTCGTCGAAAAGACAGCCTGACTAATCCTGCAGACAATTGCCAACTATAAAAGGGAAATTTCGTGGAAAACCTATTTCAATATATTCGCTACCGCAATGTCAATATGGTGCGTGGAGATGATTGTGCACATAAGATCTCAGGTCATTACCGAAATGTGTTTACACATGCACTTCATGGACTAAAAGTGGAGTTACTCAGTGTTTGTTTCTAATTTCACTGTAAGGCGCCAAGCCACGGCGTCTTTTCTTCCTACTGCCTTTCTGCTTGTTTTTCTTTCTTTTTTTTTTTCTGTCTCTCTTTGCACAGTCTCCGAGGTATTTGCGTTAGAACCATTGGGCCGTTTATTTTTATTAATGCTTCGTTTTTTTATTCGCAATCACTGTTTCTTTTTGTTTGGGATGGAGCCTCCAAAATGCCTCTTCTGTTTTCAGTTGTGCTTGATTCTTACTAGTCAAATGTTCGTAAAGTGTTTGTATGGTGATTCTTTTTGTCACTTTTGTAGTGTCATGGTTACCGTATTTACACGATTGTAAATCGACTCAATTGCAAGTCAACCCCTTCACATTGCACATCAGAAGAAAATAAAATTTTTAGAGGCACATTTTATGGCGAACACGTGAGAACGGCAGAGTATCTTACGAGAGCCCAACTTCCAGCACACGACTGACGCTTTCTGGTGTGCTTTGGCTGCGCTTACACGCACAAGGCGCACGAGATGCGCAGGCGTTATCGAAGCTAGAAAGCTCACGCTGAAGGCAGGACAGCTGAAGCTGCTCCCTGTCGTTCTCACGCTGTCTGTACAATTTGTCCGCACTGGTGATATCAGTCCCGTCGTTGTCACTGCTACGTCTCAAAGCATGTCGTTGGCGTTGCCCAACAAAATCTCGCACTCTTCGCAAATGACAGCATCAACCGCATTTTCCGCGCTTGCTCGGTGATCGCGTTGTACGTCACGGGCATCACGGGTGGGGACTGATCGTGCACTTTTGCAACGTATGTTCCAAGCCTGACCTCTAACTCTGGAATGCATCCCCACCTATGCAGACTTTGGCCCGCAAAAGCCTCTTCATTTGCGGTCACGCTTAAGATTCCGCACCATCGCAGACTTTACTGGAGCACAACCCACTCTGGCGGGTGTAACTTGCATCCAGCAACACAGTCGTTTGATGCTTCTGGATGAAGAATGCCCATAAACAAAGCACCAAAAACCTAAACTGCCCAGATCACGCATGTCAATACAAAAAAATGTAGTTGGTGCTCTGGCATGATCTTGAGACTCTATCAAATGATGTGCGACCTTGAATCGTGCGAAAAACTGAAAAAAAGCCGCAGGCCGCAAGATTGTTCCATTGGCCACTCCGTATTGGTTCTTACAAGTGCCACCACCCTTGGGGATCAAGTGCGCCGTGCTTTGCTCAGCACCGTACGTTCGAGCTAATTTGGAAATAGCTATCAATAATACTTGTTCACACAAATTAAAATTGGCGCGGATTCAAAGCTGATAATGTCGGCTCGCTTTATAGGACAGTTAATGCTTTCGCATTAAAAAGAAACAACAAAAACATTTCTAATGTGAGTGCACAGTGTAGCACAATGCTACAGGTACAGCTGGCTGAACTCAAAGCCAGTCGAGGTGTTGTGGATAATGCGATTGTTCTTTTTTTGTCGGTAATAGAATGCTTTGGTTCGGTTATAGGTCGACCCCCCCAGTTCAGATTTTCAAAAATTGAAAAATGGGTGGACCTGCAATTGGATAAATACGATACATGCGTGCGTGTTTGTGAGCACATCTGCTACCAATCGGCTTCTGCTAGCTAGTAGCCTCTTTGGTGATATCCACCAGTGTTGCGGAGTTGCCACTCCGGAGTTGGAATGATTCTGGGATCATTCCGCATTTTCGCGACCCTGGAATGGAATGGCGGCAACGTTGAGGGTAGTGGAATGGGAATGGAATTAGATGCCTTTTGCCCGGAATGGAATGGGGGGCCCCAATTTTTATTTTATTTTTATTTCATTTTCTTTTTTTTTTTTTTGGGGGGGGGGGGGGGGGGGCGAGTGGTACGTTCAGCTAAACCGAGCCAGTCAGCGAGTCAGTTGCTCAGAAAAAAAAAATAAGCGGGAAACTGCTAGCCCGCGTGGAGCCATAACACTTGTATGTGAAAAAAATGCAATAAAAAAAAAAAAAACAAGCGTTAGATTAAAGACCAGAGGGGGGAGGGGTGGCGATGGTGCTTTTCACGGACGGGCAGGTTACGGGCTTCACTAGTGTTACACGAGAGGGAGAGCGAAACAAGAAATTATGCACCAAGCAAAAGAAACAAAGGGAGCGGCGAAGAAAGAAACCGCCATGCATGGCTCCTCATCGTCCTTCTTGTCTTAATTTTTTTTTTTTTTTTTGTGACGGCACGGAGAATGCATAGGCGCGCAGAGACTGGGGGGGGGGGGCGACTCATAGCTCGCAGAGCTCTGGTAACTCGTTGACTCGTAGGCCTCCGAAAGATGATCAGTTATTGTTTTCTTCTAGTTCGAAGCGCGTTTAGCAGGTGGACCAACCCTGCTGCTTTCCACGTTCATTCGCGCGCACTCTTTTGAAGTGCAAAATCTCGGTTTGCTTCGGCATTAAAACAAAGCGAGATTCACTTCTCTCTTCTCTAATGCTTTCCTCCGCCGCTTGTGTTTTTATACTGTATTTTTACGTGTAAGTCCGCCTGTTACATGGTTTTTGTTCCGATGCTTGTTTTCTCTGTTATATGTTTTACATTCAAGTGGATTAGGGTTACAAGCAAGCTAGCGGAATCCCGTTCATTTCCTTTGACTTAGTCTCTGCATACCTTGTTTCACCTTGCGATGGACCGCTGTGGGCGCTTCGAGTCACCCCAGGCAATCCAGCACCATGAGCTTAGTAAGATCAGTGCTTTTTTTGAGGCATTTAGCATTTCTTTGCAAATGTCTATGCATTTGATAATGTCAGCTTATGCTGCTTATGCCGGAAATATTGCACAATGTAGCTGTCAAGTGCCAATTTTTACGTTTAGGAATTAGAGGAATGGAATGGAACAATTCAGCCATTCCAGGAGTGGGAATGGGCCCGGTGTCCCCATTCCTAGGAGTTGAAAGGAATTGAATTATCGAAAACTATAATTCCCGGAATGGAATTGGAATGGAATGGGAGGGTGCCCATTCTGCAACACTGATATCCACTAAGCCAGCTGGCGTGCTGACTTTGAAGTTCGGGCACCTTTTTGCGATCACCTATTCCGAGAAGTCGACGTGACAAGGCTGTCACATCGTAGCTCTTGCATTGTAAGTAAGTTTCGAGGACATTGTTCTAATGGGTAGAGCCTTCTTTCTGGTTTTCAGACATGAAGCAGTCATACGTAATATTCTGAAGGGCTTCGGGCCTACTTTATAAATAAACAATTGTCTGTTTCTACGCACACTATAATTTGATAGTCGTTGCGGTTGCAATCAGTAGGTATCGCCGCGCAACAGCGTGGAACGTAATTAATTGTTCGGGCTCTCTTGATGGGGAGAACGTCGTGGAGCCTACACTTTTCCATCGCGTCATCCGCTTGCGAAGACTCGGGTCCACGTTTGCCGCCGCTTGTACAAGTTCTCGGAGGAGTTTTCGGCATTGGTCGAAACCACGTCGTATGTGATAGTACCACCTCTCGGCGCTTCTCTTGACCACCAGGTGGGTCTCCCCGTGCTGCTGGTGACGCGGTTCCGGACCTCGAAGGAGGCGGTCTCCCTCGTCAACTGCGTCCAGGGCCGCACGGGCGTCTGCCTCTGGACCGAGAACCTGGCCTGCGCCCTGGAGCTGGCCGCGCAGTTCCGAGTGGCCTCAGTCTTCGTCAACATGCCACCCACACTCGACCCGGCCGCCGAGTTTGGGGGCGTAGGAGTCTCTGGCGTGGGAAGGGTCGGGGGCCGGCAGGTGAGACTCTCTTGGGGTCGGGTTTGCCATGTCCATAACGCGTCTCCGACCGGCGCGTCCGGCGTCGTTCCGCCCAGACATTTGAAGTGCCCTCCAAACGGCAACGAGCGACGTTACAGAAGATATAGCGTCGTGCCGCCGGACGTAGCGACCCTGCTGTCGAACGTCGAAGTTACGGCAAATAGCTCGAGAAAGTCTGAGCGTCGCGGTCGTCTCGACTTCCGGCTCCCAGCTGCCGGTGCTTTTGTCGGCCGTCCAACTGGAGGGCCACCTGCAGCGGGTCGGGCGTCTGCGACGTCCGGCGCCGCCGCGGCGTACATCCTCGGGTTAAAATCGAGGAACCTCTTCTTAGGACGTGGTAAACGCGCTGGTCGGAGACCTGTTCTTTTGTTGGCTAGGCAACTAAAGGCCCACGAAAAGAAATTCGGGGAAACTTTGGGAATGTGAGTATCTCTCGAGAGTTTTCACCCCAAGCCTTGGTTGTCGGGAGTCTCGGGAAATTCAATTTTGCTCGCGGGTTTCGGTCTTCTAAAATGTGCCATGGATGCCATCTCGTTGCACCAGACCGAGAGAGGGTTACAGCATGAAGAGAGTCCGCTCGGTGTTGCGGTTCCACGCGTTGCAGCTCACGCAGCACCGCTCGAGGGACCGGCATGTACGAAAACGATTTCAGTCGCTCGTAAAAGGCGGCCCTGTTTCGGTTTCGTGCACCGAAATTGGAGCCAAATACCATGTACGATCCGGTTACGCAAGCTCTGAATTACGCTACCATCTGCGGCGTTGCATCTGCAGTAATTCGGCTATACAAAAGTATGGCGGGTTTCTTTGCACACCTTTCGTCGCACGCTCGCTTTTTAATAAACACTTTTAGAATTATACGGCGCAAAAAAATTAAACGGCGACGCATTCGACTAATTCTGAACATAAATTTGCAAAGAGTTGAATTTTCAAAATAATTGCCCATTTTTTATTTTTGCCAAGGCGTGAGAAGACATGTCCTTTTTTTTCCGGTGGGGGAAATTTCTAGTAATTTTTACGTCGGTCTCGCCCGTAGGACGGAGTGCAGTAAATAAATTAAGGTAGTATATTGTAGCGCATATTCGGGATTCTTAAAGATCAATAGCGACGGTCGAAAGATTCTTGCTTTAACGGCCGTGGGAGGACGAGACACTTACAAGAACATCCCGAAGCAACGACGCCACCCGCAGTCTTTTTGACATACCAAGGATCGCAGTGACGTTCATACGCTTTCGAAAACAAGCTTTCGACGTCGACTCAAGGCGTCTCCCCGAACGGTGCACGCAGGGGCTGCTCACGTTCCTGAAACCAGCCTGGTCGACCGAGAGGGCGGTCGTCGGTCCTGAACCGGATTGGAGCAACTTTGGAAGCGAGACCCAGCCCGGCCGTGTCCTGCCGGCCGCCTGCCCTGCGGGAGCTCAGGGGTAAGGACACTGGCGCGGTAGGAACACATGCCTACTTGGGCCACGGTCCCACCGCTCGAACATCATGCAAAAGACGTTCGCTGCGGACACGACGACGGTGTTACCTGCGGACAGGCCTAAAGCGCGCTCGAAGCATGTTTGCTTGGTGCGTGCTTGTCTGCGGACAGTTTTTACACGACCAGTGGAACTGTCGTGTGAGGAGCAGACTGGTCTGCAAACTGCCTACGGCACATTAACGGCGTGACCGTGGCTAAGGCTAGTGCTATAGTTGGTGACAGGTAAAGAGTAGAGTGGAAGCTCTTCTCTCCCTTTTGGCAGAGCTGTAGACTTCTCCTATATTCGCTCTGTTAAACTGGAAAGAAAAGCTTCCACTCTTCACCTGTTCCCAACTATGACAGTCTACGCTACAAAGTTGTATGGGACCGAATGTAGCAATTAAATGACGAGGTGCGGGGAATGTTTCTGTGCATAAAATTATATTTTTGTCTGTACTTTAAGCAGAGCGTTTCACATGCCCAAAGACCGGCGCAGGTTGCTCTTTTGTGTCCAAAGTTGTTGACGAAAGCGAAAAATGCGAACGCGCTAGTGAATTGTAACGAAAGAACCCGAGACTGGGAGCAGCCGGAAAAGTGGATCAGCGTACGCGCCATCTCGAAACTCGGCTACCCTTTTCATTTGTCGGCGTCACGTTTAAACGATCGTCCACCTTCCTCGAAAGTTACCGACCTCCTCGCAAAAAGATGACGATCTCGGAATTTTATTGTATTGAAGTGGTCACGCTTTTAAATTCTATGTCGCTGTTTCCTAATTTGCTACGCTCGGCCTTTCTCGGGAAATAAGGTGTCGCGCGTTGTCCGTAAACGGTGCGGGTTGAAACCGAGGAAATGCTACACGGGGTGGACATTTGGGGGCCGAAGTCCCAGCTCAATGGGGAAGTGCTCGACGGTGGACTAAGAAAAGCAAACGGAGAATCGGGGCACGGACGAGCCAACGAATGTTAGTCGTAGCGAGACCCCTGGATGGGGTAAGCAGAAGACGACTCCCACGCGAAAAGGCTCCATCGCGGTTGAAAGTTTATTTCGCCCGAAAGTGCTTAAATAGGAAATGCCACAAAGAGAAAGAATGTTAGAAAAGAAAAAAAGAAGCAATCACCCTCCTTCCCGCACTAGCATTTGCTTTCATCTCTCTGTGGCATTCTCTTTCTTTGTGTCCTATCCTGTTGCACCCTTTTTGAGCAAAAATTTTTGGCCGTGTACTAGAGACTTTTTTTGCTTCGTATTTTGCTCACCTGCAGTCTCGGGGTTACTGGCTTCTTGCAGGGAGGCCGAGACCTTCGAGCTGTTCTATGCGGGGCAGCGGAAGAAACCGGAGTCTAGCACCTCGTACCCGGTGCACAATTCGGAAGGAAGGGTGGTCGGCTTCGCCCCGGAAGCCGGCAGGAAAGACGTCCGGAATGCGGTCGAGGCTGCCGTGGCCGGATTCAAGAGGTGAGTGACCTGGGAAAGCATTTGCATTATACGTCTCTGCACAAACCTTCTTTTTCTCAACGAAGACCAGTAGCGGAACTAGTGCTTAGGACCAAGTTTTAAGATGTTTCTATAAACAAAGGCTACCCACCTTATAACCCATACCTAACATTGTGGCAGTGGGTGTCCTGCACTTCTCCCTAAGAGAATGCCACCGTGCAATCACCAAAATTTTGAGGTATTGCTTGGACCAGACCAGATACTTCCACCGAGCTACATAATGGCCGGACGGCTGAAATGCAACTGGCCTGTTAAAGTGATGGCACCAAGGGCGACAAAAGTTAGCAGTTGTGTGGCGTTGCTAATGGCAGTGTGCTTTCCTTTTCAAATTAAGCCACATATTTTTAGGCACGAAGCTCCTTAGGGTCTAGCCTTGTCCGGCGTCCGTGCTCACATCGATTGCCATCCCATCTGTCTTCTGAAAAAAAAGAAAAATGTTTGCGCAGTCGACAGGATTGGAACCTGTACGGGGAGACACCAGTGGATTTCTAGTCCACCGCCTTAACCATTTGGCCACGACTGCGGGACGAGTAGGGGGCTCTGAGATGTGGTAGTAACTCAAAAGCTGGGGTTTCTGTCGTGGATGAAATGTTGCATGTAGCGACGTCTATACAGGATAGGGTGCTGCAGTCAAATGCGTATATAATCGCGTTAAACTTTGCATGCATTGGCTCAATGTTCATAGACGAGAGGGCACTGCGGTCAAATGCGTATATAACCACGTTCCATACCACACATTCTCTTTCTGACTTGGATCGTTGCGCTCAATTCATACTAAATCGAAACATTTATATTTGCAAACTTTTTCATTTGATTTACAGTCAAATTTCATATCATTCATATTCGATACGCAGTGAGAAACGTTATATTTTCGCACCTTTACGGCGAACCAATTGCACGGTGATTTCTTAAGTAGTGTTGTTCTTGTCGTCACATCTCGGTTGTTTTTAGGACGAGCGGGACGTCTAAAGGTATCCGATGTTCTCTCTGACCGCAGCTGGTCGACGCGAGAGGCCCCCAGCAGAGCTCGGGTGCTGTACCGCGTGGCAGAGAACCTGTCCCTCCGCGCCAAGGAGTTTGCCTCCCGCCTCGGCACCCTGGAGGGACTGCCGGCCGACGAGTGCGACGTGGCCGTGAGCACCTGCATCCGACGCCTCTTCTACTGGGCCGCAACGTGCTACAAGGGCATGGGCTCTGTGAGGGTGAGACACCACTCAATTTCTTACCAAGGATACACTACCGTGTCTGCAACACGTCTCCGATCTGTGCATTTGCCGTGTTCGTAAAATCAGTCCCTCGATTCCCGCCCCACGATGTCGTAGGGGCGCCACGCCGACTTTGGCCGTCGTCCCGGCAGTGTCACGGTGGCGGACGTAGCAGGCGCTGTTTGGGTCGGTCGCTCTCCGGTTCAACAGTCCGCTTTGGCGGTCGGTAGTTGCAGCAACAACGGCGACAGACGCTCACTCCTCTGCCACTTTTCGCCGTGAATCCTAGCGCCAACCGTCGGGACCACGACATCCGGCAGCGCCACACTCCGGCGTTTGCGACTTGATTCGTTGCCACTTCAGGATTTCTTTCGACGTATGGGCGGTACGGGACGCCAAACACGCTGATCGAGACGCTTTTTAGGCACCTTAGTTTTACTTCATTGTTTCGTGTTGATAGGTTCGAGTTAGGCACGTGCAAATAGTGAATTTCGAGTTTGAAACGAATAGTGACTTTGGTTGAATATTTTAACGCCGAATGTGTTTTATCGACCGATTTTCGCGGAGACCTGTAACATTTCGAGCGTAACGTTTGACAGTAACGAGAAACCAAAAGCGTTACGCCTGTAGGGAACTGTATAAAAATACTTCAGTATTTTTATACGGTTCCCCCCCTCCCCCCCCTTTCTCGCAGCGGGCCACGAGAATGGGGGGGGGGGGGGGGTTGAGAGAGAGAGTCGCGGTGGACCATGCCAGAGCAAGGGAAGGGGGGGGAGGGAGAGAGAGGGAGGGAGGGAGGGAGGGGAGGGGAGGGGAGGGGAGGGGAGGGGAGGGAGGGGAGGGGAGGGGGAAGGGGTCGCAGCGGGCTACCACCCTGAGTGCCGCTGACCATAGTCACGCCTGATAAAGACAGGAAAAGCACTACATTTTACATTCTGGAGCGCATGGAAAGCTAAAGCTTGTACACATATTGCTCAGGCTGTAATGTTGGCATTTTCATTGTATTTTATTACATTCGGGCAAGGTGTAAGCTGTCTCCGGATTGTTAGCAATAGAACAAGTGGAAGCATTCTAACTCTGGGTTGCTAAAAAAAACTCCTGCTGATGGCTGATAATCTTCTCCTTCAAGGGCTTGCCACAAAGCGCATGCTGACAGCAAACATTCGGCGTGTGATTTTACACCGTCACAATTCTTGACAGAAAACAATGTTTATCAACGCAAGCGGCCACATGTGAACATTCTATGTTGATTCTGGCACACGTGAAAAGTACTTTAGATTTTTCTACACCTGAATCATTGTGTAAACTATAAATCAAACTTAATATTGATAAACAAGCGTGTGGTCACGTGAAAAGTAGTTGGCACTGCGCATATGCAGAAGGCAAGCTCTGTTTCACCACAAGTGCGAGCGAAGTGGAAACTACACATGCACAAGCATGCTGCCTTGAAAAACTCTTTAACTGCACAAACGCGTACGCTTGTCAGGGGTCCATATTGTTTCGTTGAAACACGGTTTGTCGACAAGTTTTCATGGACACAAGTTTCATTGACATATTTCATCGACACTGGGATGTTTCGTGGAAACTTGTTTTGTAAACACATGCAACTGCGACATTTCGTTGACAACGTATTCATTTTTGCTACATGTATTGGATTGAATTACTGGCTTCGTTTGGTTTACTGGAACTGAAGCGAACTCACTCGGGCGGCTCCGATGGGGCAAAAACGAATTCACAAGCCCTAATCCTGGGCCTGTCAACACTCCCCGCTACGCATGGAAACCCTTCACTTTGCTCGAGAAAACTTTAATATAATCTCGCGCCAGTCTTTACTGGGACCGCCAAGGGTTCGGCCAGCTAAAGGTTCCTCTGGATGCCGGCGACAGAGGCGATGTGCATGGACAGACACTTTCGACGGAACGTCGCAAGGTGCGTCGATGACACAATCGCAGGAAGCTTTCGATGAAGCAAACTGTCGATAAAACGTTGCAGTATACGAAACAATCTGTCGGTGAGACGTCGTTCGACGAACTGATGGCCACCGCCCGGCAGGCCCGTTCAAAACACGGAACTCGCTCTTGTAGCTTTTGCTGCGTTCAAATGCCCACAATTTTCCGGTGAAACGTCGAAATATTGTCACCACAGTGAAGTTTGTGTAGTTTGTGTATGAATTTGAGTGTGCGCCAAGAAAGTGAGGGGGAGGACGAGACCAGATCAAAACTCAGATCTTGGGGTCAAACCAACGTAGGGCATCTGTCAGCCCCAGCAAAAAAAAACAAAAAAACAGTGTGTTAATTTTTTGATCATCTGGAAATTTGTTGTCGTGCAAACGAAATCTCGATTACAGTGCGCCTTCTCAGTGATAGGCGTTCGTCAGAGTGCGGGCACCTCGAACGGGATTAAAACCCGCCAAGGGAGGACCCGTAGACCAGCATTTCGCCTCAGATCCACCGATATATATTTTTTTTATTATTTCCAGTTTTAAATTAATGAGACAGCTATGAAACGAAATATAGTCTCACCTTTCCGACAATTTATACTGTGATTGTGAAAATAATTTCTGCACTTGATAAAAAAATGTCATTGAATTTGCTAACATGGAGGAATCGTAATTGCCAGGATCTCTTTCGCGGCGTCACTTACATTTGGGCATACGGATGCTCAGTGAAAAGTGCGCAAAAGCAATTCTGGTCCACTCGCAGCCTGGCCTTTGTCGTTTTCACATCTCAGGCTCGCTCACTGCGGGCATCCAGGCATCTGACACTTCTGTCTCTCTAAGGCGTTCCAAGCGGCACGTGATGACAAATGCAAATCAAGCTATTCTTGAACGCGTGTCGCCATCTGTATTTGATATTACTAAAAACTGCAACTTGCCGTAACTGAATGAGCAAAGTTTGTGATTGACTACCGAACTTCACGAGTAATCTTTTGATATGCAGTTTCTGTAAAATGTAATTTTAAAAGATGCTTCGTAATTTAATGTCTCGTTATTTTCGTTAGCTGACGTGATTCTACTTTTATAGCGCGAGAAAATAACATAATTTTTAACTTAATTAATTTTTTATTTAAAAATTTACATTTTGTACAGTTCATTGCTTACTTTTTAATTCACTACATCCAACAGACCGTTCACATAAACTATCTTGGACAGTCGAGAAAACAATTGTTCAGTATCAGACATTGTGATCTCTTAAAAGTTAAATAATAAACTAACAACTAGGAATAAACATAATATTGTGACATTAAAGTATGGTTAAGGAGCAGTTGTTTAATTTAAAATTAACTTTACGACTAGAATACAGTCAAACGTCGTTATATCGAACAGTGCGAAGACCGTAAAATAACTCGATATGATCAAAATTCTATATTCAAAATCGCACCAAAAACGTGACCAAGTGCAGTGTTTGTTTAATCACTAAAAGGCTAGCAGCAAAAATGATTACTCATGTAAAGCGTTAAGGCGAACTATTTATTTCGGCGAACAAAACTGCCGCAGCGTAGACTGCTTCTTGGAGTTGACCACATGCTTTTTTACATGAAATTCTTGGAGTTGACCGCATGTTTCCAAGCAGTCCACCAGCATCATACCACCACCATCTATTGCACTGCACTAGCGGCTTAAAAGGACCAAAGCGGCCACTGCCTCGCCCGAAGTCTGGAGCGAAGCGAGGTCCTCGGCGTTCGAAGGGCCAGGTTCGGTAGCCATCTTCTCTGGAGCCAGCTCGCGGGTGACTTAAGCTTCATAATATACGAATATCTTTTTCCTTTTCTAATTATTAACGCACAAAAAGAGTGATACAACTCAGGTGACTGCACACGAAAAGAGCGATACAAGCTGACTGAGCTCGTCGGAGTCTGAGCACTGAGCCGCCTGCGTATGCCGCCGAATCCGCATGGCGCTCCCGGCACCGTAGTCGTAAAGCTTTACGTAGGCATGCGCTTCTAAAAGTCGCAAACGCCCACTGTGCCACTGCTATCTTTTGATCTGTTGCAGGAAAGCCCATCGTATCGTCCAATGCGTTGCGGGAAAGCCTGCCGCCTGTCTCCGGAGCGGAGACAAACGGAGTTCGATATATTCATTTTTTCACTGACCGAGTTTTATATAAAAAATTTTAAATGCACGTAATTCTTATGACAGTTCAAGAACCATTTGATATAAGCAATAATTCTATATATACATGTTCAATATAATGAGGTTTGACTGTACATAAGAAGGGCATAAACCATCAAAAAGGAAGCAAAACAGCATGCGTGGTGGGGCTGCACCTTGACCCTTTCACTACTGCACCATGCTTAATTAAACAAAAACCCAGCTGAACTTGCGAAAATTGTTCCCATATTCCACTTGTCCGTTTGTAACCTACTGTATTTACTAGCATAATGAACGCACTCGCATAATGAATGCACCCTCCCACAATGGGTACCAATATTTGGACTTTTTTTTTCCTCGCTTAATGAACGCACCTTCGATTTTCGGCTCCGCGAGTCTCAAATTGTGTCCAACTTAGCTAGCCACCAAGCCCACCGAGGCAATTTTCGTTTTCTGCCAAGCGATCAGGCCAAGTCAGGCCAAGCCAAGCTGCTCTCGTATTGGCTGCAAGTGCATAGTTGCAGAAGTGATCAACTGTGAAACCGAGCGGTGCGTACACTTGACGAAGCCTGGGTCGAGGAATTGCCCAGCCCTGGACATTCTTCGCCTATCGGATGCATTGATGTCAACGAACACGCCGACGTCTGTTGTCCGCTTTCGGACAGTGAAATCATGAAAGTGGTTACGCCTAAGAATGGTCGCATTGCTCTCCGTGCCGAGTGAGCTTCGTAGGGCGCTTTTCTTTCAGCAAAAGGCACGCCAAAAGCGCCCTAAAAAGGTTCGCTATTTATAAAGCATGGTTACTGTGGCGTGCCCCCTACCAGCCGTGGATGCACCTCCATCAGTGGAGACATGCCACAGTACCTTGCCATGTCATTTTGGCACCTAATATGACTAACTGAAAAAATTTTGCCCCACGTAATGAACGCACCCCACAAATATGTGT